TGCTGGTTTTGTAGTACCTTGTAAAGTATGTTTACTGGTCCATTAAACGGTTAATATCAGGATGACGCCCTTACATGTTGTATGTCGAAGGCGGCTCATGACAGACTAGTTGTTTTTTCAGCAATTGTTCCCACGGGAATCACTCTTGAAAGCTATGACATGGGAGTGTGCTTAGCTACAATGTGGTTTATGGTGACTATCATACTGTTAATATCTGCTGTTTCCCTCAAAGGGAAAGTAGGTTAAATAATTCCGAAGATTGCAACATTTTTGAATTTTCTCATTTTTGTTCAAAACTCAGTCTTATTAGTTTGGCAGTGAAAAGAAAAAACAAACAAAACAGAATTTCAGAAGTTTGCAATGAAGAAATTAAACAAAAGCAATTGAAATAGGTCAACAAAACAAATATTTCAAGTGGTTTCCGCAAATTCAACTGAAAATGCAATTTGAATGACTTCTCCAGTCTCAAAATTATTCAGCCCCGTCATGGGTTCACCTAATTCAATGGCTCTTGTTTGATTTGTTCATCGGAAACTGCTGAAAGTCTGTACAGTTTGCCGATAAACCGGATTGGCAATGGGGGGTAGAATCATTTTGATTACAACTCATATGACTGGGATAACAATTCCAAAGAACACAAAGCTTATGATGCAAGACACTCAACATTCTCAGTTTAACTACTTTCTGTCTACAGCAAATGTAAAATGTTTGCACGTGTTAAAATCTGAATTTTTGTCTAGAAAACAGCTTAAAACCCCTAAATAAATACATTTTCCGAAAGCAGGCCATGTGGAATGAAAAAAAAGCTAGTAACAATTTTACAAAAATTTGTGCTCTTCAGTCAGTAAGGCCTCATTCAAACTGCTAAGGGCCGCTCCATACAGATCCATGCGGTGTGCATGGCCGTATCGGGCCCTTCAAAGGAAGGACAGGTGCATGCGTGTGATTGTACGCAGCAGCCTGTTCTTCTCTATGGGAGTACGCGGCCGTACGCACACCCGTGCGGGTGTCTGCACTCGTACGCAGACAGGATGGATCATGTCTGCGTCCAAGCACAGACACCCGCATGGATGTGCAGTTTATGTGAGCATACAGGAGTATACGGACACTTACTCCCATAGAGAAGAACAGGCTGCTGCATACAATCATACGCAGCACCTTTCCTTCCTAGAAACGGCCCGATACCACCGTGCACGCCGCACAGAACTGTAGGGGCCGACTCTTAGCAGTGTTAATGAGGCCTAAAGGAGCGAAGCCATGGAAGCAGGTGGGTGCAATTTTTACAATCTTGTTGCTGGAGTAAAGCTGCCAGCAACAGGATTATTGTGATGTGGCCCTTACAGACTATAAAAGAAACAACCAACCCCTGCCCCAGGGAGCTATTAATATTATATGTCCCCCCATCACACAATTAAAACATATAAACATTCAACAGACAATGTGATCTGACAAAACTGAAAACTACTACTTTTGGATCATGGATGGAAATTGGACCTCCCAGGGTAATCTCACAAAAACCTAGGAAGTACTTAATCACAGACAGCGTTCCAGAGGACCTCCAATGAAAGAACAGCACAATATCAAGAACACACTGACTGGACAAAGAAGGAGAAGTGGACTGATGAGGTCAACCTTCTGCTCTCCTATCAGTATGTTCACCGTCATGCAGCAGAGCCTTATTGGTTCCTCCCTCCCCTCCTAGCTTGAATGCTGTTGTGCGGAGGATTATACTAATGAAGGTCAAGAAATATCAGGAGCCATTGGATCAGCATGACAGCCAGGCAATCTATTTTCAGAAGGTCAGCAATGGCAGCCTCTACATTTTCTCAGTACAGAATTCTTTTGAACACAATTGTTGCAGATGGTACTATTGTACAGACAGACAGATGACATCAGTGCTGACATTTCTGAGCAGGTTTCCGTGGCTCAGGAAAACAATACACTGTCACTATTACATGAGAAATGCTTCAGCTGACTGTTTGTGTCCAGTGCTTGGATACAAATGGTCTGCATCCAGGTGCAGTCACCCGCAGGTAATTGCAGGACTTCCTGCAGACCGCATTAGGAATTTGTTAGACTCAGCAATCCGGCCCCATTAACTTATTGAAGTGCACTTACCAGTTAACCTTCATACTCATTTTAGTCAAATGTATTAACTTTCCCAGGAAAACATGTAAAGTGCACATGGAATATGCAAACAAGGATTTCCAGCTAAACTCTACACAGCCGAGGTATTATACTACATACCCAACCTACAAGCATTAAAGCTGTGTTCTAAAGAGAAACCTCTTTATAACGTTAGTAAATTGGAAACTAAAACTGAAAAGTTTTTACCCTGTGATGCGCCCACTGTCTAGAATTACTATGAATATCGCTACAGATTTCTACTGGTAGAAGAGGGTCAAGGCACAATCAGCATGCTATGCTACTAAACCATCTGCAATCAGTACAAGGTTCCCTTTACCATGTTGTACCTTATAGGGCCTCTTCACCTCTCTGCAATACAAGTCAAAATTCAACTCATTTTGTACAAAGTGATCTTCAAGCTGCAGCACAATAAAAAAAAAATCTGGGACTTAAAGTTTTTCATTGCAGAACTATGCATGCTCCGACTTACATGCGTTAATGGGAAATGCATAAAAGTATTTGTATTATGCATTAAGTTTCTAGGAGGCCCTCTCTTTAGAGTTCTACCCTTGTTTGTAAAAAGCCTGCTGTAGAAAACATGTACTAACCTACAATAAAACCATGTAGTAACATACATATAAGGGTTAAGGCACAACACCAAGTTTTCGGTATGGAGTACCGATACTCGCCAATACTCGTTTTGGGAGTCGGGCGGCGTGTAATGACTAATTGGGCTGGAAGATGGCTCCATGCTCCCTCATCTCCAGATGCCAGCTTTCTTGCCAATCAGGAAGCCAAGTGGCAGGAAAAAACTCTCCCCCGGCTTCCTGATTAGCCAATCAGGAAGCTGGGCGGTGAGTCGTTAAACGATGTACGGCTTCCCGATTGGCCCGGGAAGGCAGCTCGATGCTCCCTTGTCACCAAGTGATGAGGGAGCATGGAGCCGGCTTCCCATCCAATCAGGAAGCCGGGGGATGAGTCATTACCCGCCCCGCTGCTTCCTGATTGGCCAGGAAGCCAGCTCCATGCTCCCTCGTCCTGGCCAATCAGCATTCCAGGCGCCGTGTCATGATTTGCTGCCCAGCTTCCGGTATTGGGATAAGCATCGGGAGCATTTGGGCGAGTACTTGTTGCCCAACTACTCGGTTTGGGCACCGATAATAGTATGGGTGCATCCCTAGTAATTACCTTACTTTATGCATGTTATTTACCTGTAAAAGCATCCCTTGTGTAGGCATCCAAAATCCCCAAGACAACTGCTAAGCGCTGCCATCTTGGAAGTGATGTCAGCATCCTCCACAGACTCCGAGCTCTATACTATTCCAACAGACTCAAGTGACACTCTATTAGGAGGGGTAGGCAAACTTCAGCACCCACAGCTGAGGTACAACTACAAATCCCATTTGGTATTGCAAGACTGATGGCCACAGGCACGACTGCCAGAGCCAGATGCATGATGGGATGTGGTGTCACCCCAGCTAGAGGGCAAGAATTTGCCTACCCCTGCTCTATACTATTGCCCTTTGCTCCTCCCCAAGCAGCTACAAAAAAAGGTTGGTTTATAAAGCTGAAGGGTGGGGTAGAGGAGCTGGGCCAACACAGACAGTAATTAGACACTCCCGGAAGAGGAGAGGGCTACGCATGCAATGGGAGAGTAGGCTGTGCTAGGAAATTACTCTTTGCTGCAGTTGTCAAATTTTCTAGCAAAAACTCACTGCAACTGAATATAAAAATAAATGTATTGAAAGCTACAATGCTGCAACATGACATTTAAAAACACTCTGGTCTCTTTAAGCCATCAGACAATTTTGTCTACATCTCTTGAGACTCTTATTAGTGAGATCTCAGCTCCTAGGTTTGCACACCTACTGTGCCTTTTTTTCCAGGGGCTCCTACTCTTCCTGCTGGATTATTTTATATTCACTTTATTTAATGAAGAATATAAAAAGGAGCAGCTGGAACACACAAAAGGTGAGCAGGGACCATCAAGACAAGACCTATCCAAGACATACATACAAGAAGTCAGGGCCTGATTCAGTGCACCAGGTTCACCTGTGACTAAAATATCACTTTTGGGTGTAGTGGGCCTTCGAAATGTACAAGTGAAATAATAAATGAGAAAATGAAGTCAATAATAAGTGCCTGCTGGTAAAGAGAACAAAGCGGAATGGCAGAGATAAAGGTGAGGAGGAACCTCCAATTATTTCGAAGACAAAAATGATGATGAGGCGGCATTTATTTCCTATGCAGACTTATCATTAGAGACCTCAGAGTGTTTGAAGCAAAGTGGTTACAAAGCAGCTAGAGCAGTGCACAACCCACCTCGTATTCCTTGATTGTACCCCTCCAAGAGCAACCATTATTGTTGCAGAGAGCAGGCAGACTTTCCACCTCTCGCCGTGCTGCGTTATCTGGAAATGCCTGATAATGACAAAACAACACATATATATAAGACACTGTACACTACCATTCATCATACAATATTTGTCATATACACAAATGAAATATCACACACATAGAAGGAAAGTGCCACCTACTGCAAAGTAGTAGAGCTATTAGGACTTGATATAGCGATCCCTAATAAGTTGGCACTTTTGATGTTGGGATTAATGTGGTAAAAATGGGGGGAGGATAAGTACAGCATTGGGGTCATTAGGTGGGCAGCCTCCATGACATTTCATTACAAGCCCACTAAGTCTCTAGAGGGCTCAATGTTGATCCCTGCCATCCCAGGTATAACCCCCTTAGTTCCTTACCCTTTTGTCTCATCTTGCAGCCCAGCTGTTGTCTTTCCTTTTAATCCAGTCGCTGCAGTTTTCTGCTGCATTTGATAAGGACTAGATTGCAATTCCTCACTCCCATCTTCTGCAGAAGGTTGGTTGTAGATGTAGCAATGGAAACCCCTGCAGCATCCCACTTCTACGGGACAATAGCGTGATCATCCAGCCATACTGAGCAGCTTCAGCTATCAGTTCCAAGCACTTGGTCTTTTTTTTGTAATCTTCTTTATTTCCATCTTCCCATGTTACAGTCAATTCCACAATGTATGCCTGCTTGGTTTTTGTGGACCACAGGACCATGCCTGGCCAGAGTGTTGTAGATAAGTCTGTAGAAAACATACTCCTCTCCCCCTCAAGTCCCCATCTATTTTCCAATTTCAAACAATTTGCAGGATAATCGTGTCCTTTGACCTTATTAGATGCTCTGGAGGTTGGCCGTCTGGTACAAATCATGGGATACCGACACTCCCTGTCAATGTTTGTTGGAGAGGAAGTTGGAAAAACATCAGAACTATCTGATGAGCGAAAATAAGAACCGATACTTGTCCGAACGGACATCCCACCAAATTTTAAAACCCCCTCCACCCCAAAAAAAACCTATCAATTTAAACAGCAGTCGCCCCAAGTGGAGTGCAGTGAAAGTAGTGAGAAAGGCAAGATCAACTTCAGCGCCAAGCCCTAACGGTGTTTTGTATTGTGTTGAGCAAGAATGCCTCTAATGTCCTAAAATTCCTCTGGAAAAACTTGAAGGTTGTATGGCAAAAGTAAGCAATTCCTAGAACTTTGTTAGACTTGAGAAGGTCTCACTCATCCTGCTGCATTCTATAATGCAAATTCAAAAGCCAACAGGCAAAGTGGGCCCCCTCATAACAATCAAGGGATCTAGCGTCTGCAGGAAACGTTTTGGGTGGACTGATCTCATCATGCTCTATGGTCCCTCCCTCCAGCCCTAGGCCACCTCACAGGTGGTGCAATGCATAGCAAGACACCCCTGTATCCAACACCTGAAAGTGACTCAGATATGAAGAGCTTTGCTCTGCAACAGAGGGAAGATTCCACAAAGGGAAGCTGGGAAGTATAAAGTCTCTTCATTTACAGGAGCTTTTTGCTTTAAATCTTTATTTCTGTGACAAAGTGGTCATAAGTCAAGGGGCTCATACATACTCTCCCTTCGACACGGATTTCTTGAACACGTGTACAAAGTTCACGGTCAGGAACAAGCAGAACTGAGTTACAGCAATAATAAACGTTAAAGGGTCAGTCAATCTAAAAATATTTTTTGAATGTGGGATTTTGCCACCCACTTGAGAAATACAAGCTGCCAGGGGGCAATTTAACCTCCACAAACCTGATGAATAAAATACATTCCAGTGGCTGCAATGCTAGATAAATGTAGAGATCAGCCAATCAAACACTAAAATAGAACACTGGAAAAATTATCTTGACTTTAATTCTGTGTCCAGGTTAAAAAATACGGCTCACCATAAATTGAGGGCATTAGAACTTGAGGCATGAAAGTTCATGCAGCTCCATAAACATGTACGCTCAGATCAAGTGTGATATTTATGCCACGCAGCACACGGGCAGAGGGGGGAGCTCCTGGCAGACTGGCAGCAAACTACAGTGATTGTTCTTTTGTCTTAACATTTAGCAGAATGGGTACTTGGCACTTTGCCATTGGTCCAAACCATCCACAGAGCTCAAGTCTCTAACACAGTAGAGGTTGTTGCAGCTCTGTCCTCACTAGGTTAGGTTACACAAGCAGTGGGGAAGCCCGCTGCTGTGTAACCTAACTTAGCTGTCAAAAGCTGGATGCAGCACTGCCTGTAATTAACAGCGCTCCGTCCATGACAGGTTACACAGTGGGGAGGCTTTCCCTGCTGTGTAACCTGTTACAAGCTGCTCTGAATGGAGAAAAAGCAGTCAGCTTCAGACTTGAACCTGACAGCTTGTACCTCCTAGGCGAGGCTCTGCAGTCCATGCAAGGGAAATATTCCTGGCCAGGAATTGTGGTGCACCAGGCCAACACATCGTCTACAACTTTTCTTGCTATTTGGTAATGTGTGGTTCTTAAGAATATTGATTGCTGGGAAATCCGCTTCATCAAAAAACAGCTGCATGCGCGTTCGAACCATTTTTAAATGGCTGTTAATATCAGTAAGAAGAAAAACATTGTAGAATGGCTATCCCGTTGCCTTTGTGTATCCAAATCAATATTAATTTTTTTTACTGCTGTAACAAATGCCATCAGGCTTTATATGGGGTTGTTTACCTCCCTCTGGATCAACTGTGGAGTTAGTTTATTTTTGTACTTAATGGACGTGCTTTTTTCCCCCCCAACAATGATGTAACTAGGAGAAGCAATAAGAAAAGCTCCCTCCAATAAAAAAACCAGCAGAGTGTCTAGGTCTTACCCCGTTCTACTACACAGAAGTAGGGGATGATGTCACAAGGACAAGGTAAGAGGGGAAATTAAATCATAACCTGTCAAAGGTTCTAACCCTTCCCTGCTCTATCAAAAGAAAGACTTACTGTGCTGCTTTCCAAGACAGAGGTTCCTTCCTCGAAAAGGCCTTCCTGAATGCAAGCGGCACACTTCTGAGGACCGGAGCTAAGAGATACACACAAAGAGCAGACAGTGAACACGACTTCTCTTCACAGGTACAATATGTCACAGAGAGCTGAATAGCCAAATGTTACAGATGCTAAAGCAACTATACACAGATTACGGTTTAGATTTGCATTTTATTTTCCACTATGGGAACAAAATGATTACACTGGAAGTGTCCAATGAGAAGAAGCCTGTGGAACTGGAACTTCCAGGAGTTGTGAGTTGAGAAACCAGGGATAATTAATTCTCATGTCCAACCAATAATCTGAGAAACATCTGTGTTTTGGTAGCTGAAAGTCCTTTCAGTAATAGACAAAGCTAACATACAGATTTACAATGAAGGTTTGATTGAAGAGTTTGAAGTGAATCTGTGCTTTGCCTATGCAGGGCATTTTAATACCCTTGCCTGCCACAAAAAAATATGTCTTTCTTTTTTTCTCCCCCCAGCTGCTCTACTCAGCCATCAGCAGCCAGGAATAGAAGCCTGTGTAAGCTCCGACTGACTCTAGACTGAGCTTACAAAGGGCAAAGAGAAGACATTTTGAATACATTGTTGGTTATCAAAACCTCTTACCGACTTTCAGTTTAAACTCTTCGGATTAATCAGTCAAAAAACTAATTCTGATTGCAATGGGCGACCACATATTTATACTGAATATGTCCAGATGGCCCCTTTCCCCAGAATTCCCTGCTGCTTACCTGACAATCTTCTTTAGACAATGCGAGCAGTAGCGGTGTCCACACTGGGCCTGGAAAGGCCTCCTAAGAATATTCTTGCACTCTGAGCACAGGTATTTCACTTCAAGTTTGGTCGCGAGAATCTCCTTCTTGAAGCCAGGCTGGTTGAGGTCCAGAGAACCAGGTGGAGACTGAATAGAGGCTGGCAGGGCTGCAGCAGCCATGTGAACAAAGCACTGAAAAAGAAATAAAAAAGGAAATGAAGTTAGTCATTGAAAAATTGTTCCAGGGCACAACCCTCTGTTTCCTGGATGGGATGTTCTAGAAGGTAGCAGATCAATGGAATTTTTAGATTACGCTAAAATCCCCCAGGAAACCTATTGCCGTAATCCCTATATCAAGTACTTCAGTCTGCAAACCTGCTGTGCTCATTATGAGTGGCTTCAACTCTTCCTGCTGGATTGTATATATTTTAAATGATGAAGAATGTAAATCTGGAGGAGCTGGAACACACAAGGTAAACAGGGACAATGAAAACTCCTGGGTGGGCAGGAACAAAGTCAGAAATTATGTTGGGGAGATCTGACTTTCGGGGTACCCAAGACAAAGCCTCAGAGACAAAGATAGATATGTTCACAGTCTTAGGCTCCATTCACACATAGCGATAAGCACACGGAACAGAAACCGAGCAAAGTAACATACGCGTCGATTCCGCGTGTTTATGGCCATTACCATTACTGTTTGGTACCGTGCGACCGCCGCAATAGTATGCGCAATGCATAGTTTTTTTATGTTTAGCGCGTTTCCACGCATATTCGTATGCATGAATGCATGTGTGAATGCAGCCTTAAAGGAGAACTATGGGGTTAGGGCTTTTCCACATAGTTCTCTTAAGGTTAATAGGAGGACACAAGCTAGCGTCCCCCCGTCACCCTTTAAATCACATAATTTTTTTATTGAACATTTTCAGACAAAAAACAATCCACACACGTACACAGTAAAATGTCAAAGCGTTGCAGAAACTTATTGAAATAAAAGAAAATACACTTCAATACGAGACACAAACCAAGTAAAACAAACCAAAAAAAAGAACCAATAAAACAATACAGAGGCCTGCATACAGTATGTGCACATACACTAGCATCGTAGTGAGCCGTCCACCCTGGAACTACCCACACACATATCCAACCAGCCCAGTCTCACAGATGATTCTAGACATTCGGCCCAATCCCAGTAACCATCACAGGTATAACCCATAGCCACAAGCCCGGCCTCAAAACAGCACACCCTCCTTAATCTGTGCTCCCACGTGCCGCTCTTCCTCTGTAAGACTGCCATGCAGCCCACAATTTGTCAAATTTGTTCAGGCTCCCTCTCTGCTTATATGTGACCCTCTCAAACTCTACCATTCTGTCCAGTTCCTCCAGCCATAGCTCCAATGTGGGGGGGGAGGAGGACACCCACTTCCGCACCACCAACCTGGACGCAGTAAACAGGGCCCTCTTTATAGCAAGCGATGTGGGAGGAGTCAACTCCGGTGCCTCCAGCAATCCAAGAAGGCAAACCAGTGGGGTATTATTCAAGGAGGATTCAAAGACCACATTAATGACCTCTAGAACCTTACCCCAATAACGTACAAGTTTAGGGCATCTCCAAAGGAGATGGATTAAAGAACCCTGATGGTGGCCACACTTCGGACAATTTGGGTCAGCTCTGTACCCAATACGGAACAAAAATTCTGGGGTTCTGTAAATCCTATGAACAATGAACAATTGTGTCAGCCTATGCGTGGGTGACAATGACACCTGTTCAACACCCTGAAGGACATCCTCCCAATCCTCATCCGACATAGTTCCCAGGTCTGACTCCCACCCCTCCCTGCACTTCAATGGGTTAAGAACATCAGACTTTTGGAGGAGGTGACTGTACAGAAAGGAGATCACTCCCTTGGTGCGAGTAGCCAATAACACCGCATCCAATGTCGGTGTAGGTGAGAACTTAGGGGGGTCCTGCCCAAACTGTGCCCGTATAATTTCTCAAATTTGTTCAGGCTCCCTCTCTGCTTATATGTGACCCTCTCAAACTCTACCATTCTGTCCAGTTCCTCCAGCCATAGCTCCAATGTGGGGGGGGGGGGGGAGGAGGACACCCACTTCCGCACCACCAACCTGGACGCAGTAAACAGGGCCCTCTTTCTAGCAAGCGATGTGGGAGGAGTCAATTCCGGTGCCTCCAGCAATCCAAGAAGGCAAACCAGTGGGGTATTAGTCAAGGAGGATTCAAAGACCACATTAATGACCTCTAGAACCTTACCCCAATATCGTACAAGTTTAGGGCATCTCCAAAGGAGATGGATTAAAGAACCCTGATGGTGGCCACACTTCGGACAATTTGGGTCAGCTCTGTACCCAATACGGAACAAAAATTCTGGGGTTCTGTAAATCCTATGAACAATGAACAATTGCGTCAGCCTATGCGTGGGTGACAATGACACCTGTTCAACACACTGAAGGACATCCTCCCAATCCTCATCCGACATAGTTCCCAGGTCTGACTCCCACCCCTCCCTGCACTTCAATGGGTTAAGAACATCAGTCTTTCGGAGGAGGTGACTGTACAGAAAGGAGATCACTCCCTTGGTGCGAGTAGCTAATAACACCGCATCCAATGTCGGTGTAGGTGAGAACTTTGGGGGGTCCTGCCCAAACTGTGCCCGTAGGGCATGTTGCACCTGGAGGAACTGAAACCGGCACCTGCGAGAAAGCCCAAAGATGGAGACCAGATGCTGAAAGGAGCACAATTCCCCCACAGGATACAACTGAGAGACTGATACAACCCCATTGTGGGTCCAGTCCACCGTACCCTGGAGGGGAAGAAGCTCCGGTAGCATGCCATTTTGCCACAAAGGAGTGTAACGAGTTAGTTGGTCCACCCCCAAGGCTCGCTTGGCGGTAGCCCAAACCTGTCCCATCAAGCGCACCGTAGGAAGTGCGGAGTGTCCCTTAACATACATGTCACTGTCCAGGTAACACAAAGGGTCCAACCCGTGAAACAAATACTTCAGAAGTACAAGGGACTGTGGGGGGGATCTTCCTCCACCGCCCAGGCAGCCAAATGTTGCACCTGTGAGGCCACATAGTAAAACCAGGGGTTCGGCAAAGCCAGCCCCCCATAGGCTTTTGGGCGCTGCAGGACATCAAGACGCAGCCGGGGGGATTTCATCCTCCAGACCAGGTCCCTGAATATCCCGTCGATCAGGCGAAAGGTCTTTTTTGGGATCCACATCGGAGAGTTATGAAGGACATATAATAACTGGGGCAACCATATCATTTTGATCAAGTTCACCCTACCGGCCACCGAAAGCGGTAATTTAGCCCAGGATGCCCGCTGAGACCTAAACCTCGCCAGCAGGTGGAGCAAATTCAGAGAGAGGTAGTCAAGGGGAGAAGCCGTTAGTTGTATGCCCAAATAGGTAATGGCTGTCTGGACCTGCAGATGAGACAACTCAGGAGCCAAAAGGCGCAGGGAGAGGGTCCAGCGGAAGCAGATTGGACTTCTCCCAATTGACGACCAGGCCAGAGAACTTGGCGAACCCAGCTAAAAGGGATATAGCATTGGAGAGGGAAGATCGTGTATCCGCAAGAAACAAAAGGGTATCATACGCATACAGCACAATCTTCTCCTCCAAGGCCCCCCTCCTAAAACCCACAATGTCTGTGGATTGCCGAACCATAACCGCCAGAGGCTCAATGGCCAGGGCGAAAAGTAAAGGGGACAACGGACACCCTTGTCTCAGACTCAGACAGCCTCAGACAGGGAGTCATTAACCTTTATTCTGGCAGAGGGGTGATGATACAACAACCGGACCCACTTACAAAACCGTGGCCCAAACCCAAATGCAGACAGGACCGCCCACAGATAGCTCCACTCTACGCTGTCAAATGCCTTGGCTACATCCAAGGCAAATAGTGCCCTATTACCCGGATTGTGAACCGGGATCTGCATGTTCAAAAACACTCTGCGTATATTAAGATCGGTAGATTTATTAGGGATGAAACCTGACTGGTCCAAGTGTATAACTGAAGCAATCTTTTGGGACAACCTGTTAGCCAGAACCTTAGCCAGCAGCTTGATGTCTGAATTTAACAGAGAAATAGGCCTGTATGATTCTGGTAATAGCGGGTTTTTGCCCTTTTTTGGCAGAACAATAATTGTGGCTTCGTACATAGTATCCGGCAGCCTTCCCACCGAGAAGGCTTCATTAAGAGTGTCCAACAGGGTAGGAAGAAGTACCGCTGCATGGGTCTTATAGACCTCAATAGGAAGTCCATCCGGCCCAGGGGCCTTTCCACTCGGGAAACTAGCCATAGCCAGCTCCTCCATGTCCAACCTGTCAGACACCTCAAGGGAAGGCATAGGGATACTGCCCAAGTAGTTGTCCAGCTCAGAAGCGGTATAGGCCGACCTGGTCTTGTATAATGAGGTATAAAATGAACAGAATATGTCAGATATCATCCCTTGATCTGAGTGTATAGGTCCTCCCGTCACCCTAAGCTCAGTATACCGCGAGCTACAGCTCGCGGTATACTGAGAAGCCACAGCTGAAGCAGATCCTGACAATTATGTCTGGATCCGCCCAGCTGCGTGACTGACAGCTGGCTCTGCCTATCTAGAGGCAGAGCCAGCTGTACCTGCCCCCTCCCCCGTCCGATCCGCCAGTCAGCGCTGGAGGATCGGAGCGGGGAGGGGGGAATCCAGCCACTCCCCTGTCACGGCAGAGAGCAGTGAGAGGATAGAGAAGTGAGCGAACGCCGGTATGTGTTCGCTTACTTCCCGATCTACTGAGCCGACCTGTGACAGTCTCATTGTCACACGTCGGCTAGAACTATGAGGTGAGTGAAAAGCACTCACCTCATAGCTCTCCTTTAATGTTAGTATGCATTGTGCGTAATTAATTATACTGTATATATGTACAAGGAGGAAGTCAGATTAGCCTCATTTTCATATGCAGGGTCTACTTCCTGCTTATATTGGTCATGATTTAGGCCTCATCAACACAGACGTGCACAGCTGTACAGCGTGCACATCTACGAGTAACAGCTGGTGCATACAGCCTTCTGTACAACTCCGACATGATGCAAGGCATGCTGGTAAATGCTGAACCGGACTTGCGCATCCATACAGGTATAAACGTACGCAGACTGTCTACATGCATGGCTGTACCATCTGTAA